CCTGTACTTGCCCCCCCCAGTGCTGTCCCGGCTGGTTTCGAGTCTGCTCTCTCAGGTACAGCACCCACACAGACTGCTCCCTCAGGTACCGCACCGGCTGAGGCCTGTCACACCTTCACCCTTGACTCAGGTGCTTCCCGTTGCTTCTTTCGTGACAGTACTGAGCTCACACCGCTTCCTGCACCGGTCCCAGTCTCCTTGGCTGACCCCTCTGGGGGCCCAGTCCTTGCCCAGTCCACTACTGTCCTCCCTTGTCCGGCGGTTCCGTCTGGCTCGTTGTCGGGTTTCCACCTCCCCTCGTTCTCGACGAACCTGGTGAGCAACGCTGTCCTCCAGGATCAGTGGGTTGACACCTTTACCCCTGGCGGACAGCGTGTGGCGATCTGCACGTGCTCCAGGACTGGCCGTCACCTGGCTACGTTCACCCGTCGGCCGGGGTCGAGTCTCTACACACTGACCACTGCGTCTCCCCAGGTAGCTGCTGTCGGTCAGGTGTCTGCGTCAGGTCTGGTGGCCCACGCCTGTGAGTGTCGTTCCCTGTCGCACCAGACTCTTCTCTGGCACCACCGCCTGGGTCACCCCTCCTTGCCACGCCTTCGTGGCATGCACCGTCGCCTCCTTGTGTCTGGTCTTCCCAGGTCCCTCCCTCCCCTCCCTGCCTCGCCTGCGCCGCCTTGCCTTCCTTGCGTCGAGGGGCGGCAGCGCGCCGCTCCTCACTCCTCCTCGTTCCCCCCGACAGAGGCTCCTCTGGAGACCCTCCACCTGGACGTGTGGGGCCCAGCCCGCGTTCGTGGTCAGGGCGGTGAGCGGTACTTTCTGCTGGTTGTCGACGACTACTCGCGTTACACCACGGTCTTCCCCTTGCGCACCAAGGGTGAGGTCCCTGCTGTTCTGATCCCTTGGATCCGCACGGTTCGTCTCCAGCTCCGCCGCCGTTTCCGGACGGATCTTCCTGTCCTGCGTCTGCACTCTGACAGAGGTGGTGAGTTTTCCTCCGATCTCCTGAGGACCTTCTGTCAGGCAGAGGGCATCGAGCAGACCTTCACGCTTCCGGACTCCCCACAGCAGAATGGGGTTGCTGAGCGCCGCATTGGCCTGGTCATGGAGATCGCTCGTACCTCCTTGGTCCACGCGGCGGCTCCCCATTTTCTGTGGCCGTTTGCTGTCCGGTACGCCGCGCATCAGCTCAACCTCTGGCCCCGTGTCTCCTTGCCGGAGACCTCGCCCACACTGCGTTGGACGGGGGAGGTTGGCGATGCGTCGCGCTTCCGGGTGTGGGGTGCTCGTGCCCTTGTCCGTGATACGTCCGCGGACAAGCTCTCCTCCCGCACGCTTCCCTGTGTCTTCCTTGGCTTTGTCCCTGACGCGCCTGGCTGGCAGTTTTACCACCCCACCTCGCGCCGGGTCTTCGCCTCTCAGGATGTCACCTTTGACGAGTCGGTCCCTTTTTACCGTCTCTTCCCCTACCGCACTGCCCCCCTCCCTCCCCCGCCGCTTTTCCTTGCTCCTGGTCCCCCTCCGGTAGACCCCCTTCCCCCTCAGGGTCCTGCTCCTTCAGGTGTCTCTCAGGTAGACCCTCCTCCCGTCGCTGAGCCTGTCGAGGTCACAGGTGACTCAGGTGCTGCTGCGGGTGGTGCTGCTGGGAGTACTGAGCCTGGGGGTGCTGGGCCTGGGGGTGCTGGGGCTGCAGGTGCTGGGACTGAGGGTGCTGGAGCTGAGGGTACGGTGCCTGAGAGTACGGAGCCTGGGGGTGCTGCGCCTAGGGGTGCTGAGCCTACGGGTGCGGGGCCTGGGGGTGCTGCGACTGGGGGTGCTGAGCCTGCGGGTACTGAGCCTGCGGGTACTGAGCCTGGGGGTGCTGCTACTGAGCCTACGGAGCCTCGGGTTACTGCGTCTGGGGGTGCTCCGGTTCGGGGTGCTGAGCAGTCTCTCACACCGCAGCAGCTTCGCGACTGGTACGTCCGACGCTTTCGCCGTCCTAGTGGCTCGACTGGAGTTTGGGGTGCTGGAGCTGCTCGTCCTGGGGGTGCTCGTACTGGGGGTACTGGAGCTGCTGGAGCTGGGGACTCTGGCGCTGGCGGTGCTAGCGGAGTTGGAGCTGCCGACTCTGGGGGTGGCGCGGCTGCTGGTGCTGAGGAGTCGGACGGTGGAGCTGCTGCTGGAGCTGGGGACCCGGCCGGTGGAGCTGCTGCTGGTGCTGTGGACCCGGCCGCTGGAGTCCCTTCTGCTTCTGGAGACGCTGCGCGGCCGCGACCGTACTTCGTACCGCTCCTTCAGCAGGTTCTTGGGCAGGCTCCTCCTCCTTGTCCTCCTCCCTCCGTAGAGTGTCCTCCGCCTGTCCAGCCGCAGTCACAGTTACCGCCTGCCTCGCCTCTCCCTGCTCCCTCTCCTTATACTGGTCCCACAGGAGGTCTTACAGAGCGTCGTGAGCCTGAGTCTCGTCCTGCGTCGCCTGTTCGTCCTGCTCGCACTGGTAGTCGTGTCCATCGTGAGCGTCCTCCTCCTGTCCCAGGCACTCACTACATGACTCTGCGTCCCTCTACTGCTCCTCGGCGTGTCCCTCTACCGTCTCCTCCTGCGTCCTCTTTGCCTGCCGTTCCGGACCCTGAGTCTGACCGGTATCGCGCTGAGCACCCTACAGTCACGCGTCTCCTTGCTACTGTTGTCACTGACCCCACCTTTGAGTCCTCGGCTGCGTCTGCTCTGGTCGCTGAGTTGGTTGACTTTGCTGCTGCCTGTCGTCTAGACTACGCTGCTAGCCTTGTCGCTGAGTCAGAGTCTGCGTCTGTCTGTCCTCCGTCCGTCGGGGGTGAGTGTGCTCTTGGCACGGACGTCCTTGAGGACAGGCAGGAGGACTTTGACTCTCTTGCGGCTGCTGTACCTCATCTCGTGGCCTGGTTGCTTGCCCCTGAGGGAGACCCGGATGCACTAGACATCCCCACTCCGCGCACTTACGCAGAGGCGATCTCGGGTCCCTACTCCTCTCAGTGGCAGACAGCCATGGACGCAGAGATGGCATCCTGGAAGTCCACAGGCACCTACGTCGACGAGGTTCCCCCTCCTGGGGCGAACATCGTCGATGGCATGTGGATTTTCAGGGTGAAGCGGCCGCCGGGTTCTCCGCCTGTCTTCAAGGCGCGTTACGTGGCTCGAGGCTTCAGTCAGCGTCAGGGGGTCGACTTCTTCCAGACCTTCTCCCCCACCCCGAAGATGACCACTCTTCGGGTTTTGCTGCACGTTGCTGCTCAGCGTGACTACGAGCTTCACTCTCTTGACTTCAGCACAGCGTTCCTGCAGGGCAGCCTGCACGAGGAGATCTGGCTGCGCCGCCCACCTGGCTTTACTGGGTCGTTTCCCCCTGGTACCCAGTGGAGTCTCCGCCGGCCAGTCTACGGTCTCCGCCAGGCGCCACGTGAGTGGCACGACACACTGAGGACTACTCTTGCGGCTCTTGGGTTCGCGCCGTCTACTGCTGACCCGTCGCTGTTTCTGCGCACTGACACGTCGCTGCCGCCGTTCTACATCCTCGTGTACGTCGACGACTTGGTCTTTGCTACTGCTGACACTGAGGCACTCGCTCGTGTGAAGTCGGAGCTGCAGAAGAGACACACCTGCACTGACCTGGGTGAACTGCGTAGCTACCTTGGCTTGCAGATCACCCGGGACAGAGCCCGTCGCACCATCACCCTGACTCAGTCACACATGGTGCAGCAGGTCCTTCAGCGCTTCGGCTTCCAGTTCTCCTCACCACAGGCCACACCTCTGGCTACCAGCCACTCACTCTCAGCTCCACCTTCGGACGAGTCCGTAGAGCCGAGTGGCCCGTACCCAGAGCTTGTAGGCTGCCTCATGTACCTGATGACTTGCACGCGACCTGACCTTGCGTACCCTCTTAGTATCCTTGCTCGTTACGTTGCGCCTGGGAGACACAGGCGAGAGCACTGGGAGGCTGCTAAGAGGGTGCTGCGGTACCTGTGCAGTACATCAGGCATGGGGCTGGTGCTTGGAGGACGCGACAGAGTTGTCCTCACTGGTCACTCGGACGCCTCTTGGGTGGACGACCTGGCTACGCAGCGGTCGTCACAGGGTTACACCTTCAGCCTTGGCTCTGGTTCTGTCTCGTGGCGGTCCACCCGCTCTTCCTCTGTTCTCGGCTCTAGTTGTGAGGCTGAGATCTACGCCACAGCCATGGCTGCACAGGAGTTACGCTGGCTCACCTACCTGCTGACTGACTTGGGAGAGCGGCCTAGTTCTCCGCCAGTTCTGTACGGTGACAACAAGGCGGCTCTTGCCTTGTGTCAGGAGCACAGACTGGAGCACAGGACGAAGCACATTGCTCTTCGCTACTTTCTTGCTCGAGAGCTTCAGCAGCGCGGTCAGCTTCGACTTGTGTACGTGGACTCGAAGGCCAACACTGCTGATATCTTCACCAAGGCGCTCCCGCCTAGTGATCATCAGCGGCACTGTACTTCTTTAGGCCTTGTGTCCACGTTTCCTCACTTGCTCACTGCTTGACATTCTTTGTACTGTACTTTATATATATCTTGTTGCTTGCTTGCTAGGTTTTGATCACTGTGTTGCTTGTCTTGTACTATATCTAGCATTGCATGTGAACTGGCCTTGTGGCCTTTACTTGTGCTCGAAGTGTGGTGACGTTGTGATCCACCCTGGGCTTTGCTTTGCTTTGCTGGACTGGTCGTGTGACCCTTTGTTCTCCCCCACTTTGCCTATGGGGGTGTGTTAAACTGTATTATGCTTGTAGGCTGTAGTGGGGTAGCCAATATGGGGTACAACCCCAACTAGGGTTTCACATTTGTACCCAAACTTCTGCTAGTTCAATCATTCTTGCCTAGTGATTCTGACACAGGGGCGCTGATCCCCACGCTTCCGCCTGCGGCGCGTCACATGCGCGTGCAACGCATGGTCTCCCGGCCGTCCCGTCTCGCACCACGCATGGTCAGGCGGTTCCTCCAGCATGTGCTACTACGGCTGCATGTGGCATGCCAGGATTCGGTGACGGATCTCTGCGCGCTTCAGCGGCTCCAGATGGTGCTCTGCGCCAGCCAGGTGCCTCGGCCGGGATTGCAGCCGCAGCCACTGGTCAGACAGGTGCAGCCGTGGGTCAGGCAGGTCCAGCAACTGGTGTACCATCAACATCGGCGGGGCACGCAACGGCAGCAGGCGGGGTTCCTGATGGAGCCGGGAGTTTAGGGGGTGGAGCGGCCAACCTTCCAGCAACTGCCGCGGGACCGCCAGGTGGATCAGTGCGTGTTCAGCCTCATGCAGGCCATGGTGCTCAGTCAGCGGCCGCAGCACAGACAGGTTCTGTCGGCGTAGCACCAGCGCCAGCTCATTCGCAGAAATACGCGACCGCGACGGATCCAGTGTCATACCCGCCCGGCCCGACTGTGTGGCCCACAGGCGTAGAGCCACGGGCTCAATCACAAATTGTGCGGCCTATCGTAGCAGCTGTGGTCCAGCCCAGAAACGATGCATGGGACCTAGTGGAACCCCCGACGGAGCTCACCATGTTTCACCGAGGTGTGCAGGTACAGGGTGCTCACCGGTTGGATGCGGCGGCTGACACTGCGGCTCCTCATAGGGGTTCGTCTGTATGGTCATCGGGGGAACCTTTCTTCACCCCCTCTGCCTTTCCCCCTGGGGCGCATATGCATGGTGTACGCGCCCCTGCTGCGGTGGGGTTTGCGCAGCAGGCTGCTGCTGTTCCGCCGGCCGGCTCAGCATCCGCCGCACATTCATGGCCGATTGGCCATGCACAGCAACCTCCCAACGCTGTTCACCCCGGTTCTGGGCAGCCAAACGACTTCGCACAACTGCCACTGACGACCCTTTGTCCCACGCGGCATGAGCCTGATGCATTCCTCGCCACTGACGAGGTGCTCGACAATACCAGCTGCCACCGTGGTCAAGCATCCGAGTCTCGTGGTTTGGGCTTCTCAACCATGAACGCTGGTTTCATGCAGGGGTCCCGACACGTACTGCCATCGCCGGCGGCATCATCATCTATGGTTCCCACGGCTCAGGGAGCAGAGAACGGTGAGGTGCCCAGCACCAAGGGGTGGACGGGCGTCACAAAGAAGCTGGACAAGGACGAGTGGATCGGTAGGATAATCCTAGACCGTGCATCAACGTCGCTGATCGTCATCAACAGCCACTTTGAATCAGAGGATGAGGCGGCAAGGTCAATCGCAGCTGTCTCGCACGTGATGTTCGTTGACAAGCCAACGCGTGGGGACCTCATTCCCTTGACAGCCGCCGACAAGGAGAAGCTCAGAGGGTGCACGACGCACCAGTGTGAGGTGATGGTCCGGATGAAGTTCTGGCACATGTGGGAGGAGTGGAGGAATTATTGGCCTGCTGCGAAGGCTAAGTGGGACGCGAAAATGCGCAAAATCCAGGAAAAGCAAGCTGCAATAACGGCCAGCTTGGGGGATGATGATGGTCGGGCCAACAAAAGGGCACGAGGTGAAGCTGAAGGAATCGCAGGGGGTGAGACTGCGTCTCGCCGGGTGGGGTCGGGAACACAGGATCCATAGTTTAGGTCTCAATGAATGGAAGCGGGTGTGTTTTGGGACACATTTAGTATTTCCGCATGCATTTGACTTCTCTAATCGTCGGATATACCTCTGCGTGTTTCATTGCATGTGTTTTTGAATCGTCATCATCTAGCCTAGCGTGCCTATGTGAAATGGTGACTGCTATGCAACTGAGAACCTCAACAATGGCATTCTTTCCGATACATCACATTGTAGCGAAGCGAGATTAAAGGCCAGAAGGTGTAGGGCAAGACCCTTACGTGAGTAGCGCAATGCAGCAGTGTGCGTTCCGTCAGCCCCTAGTCAGAGGAGAGTGGAGCAACTGGCATGTCCATGTAAATGCCTGACGCGATACTCGCCAACAACAGATCAACAACCCGCAAAAGCGCAGTATACATTCCGTAGACATCCCACGTGGCACCAGCCATGCAGCCTTCTTACCGAAGTGTGTACTCACTGTACGCTCGCCACGTATAAGTGAAACACTCGTGAATCTCTAGTAAGAGCCGTGGCGGAACATTTGGAATTTCCAAACGTCTGCACTGCACGCAACTGTGCAGGCCGGTCAATACGAAACCCATACTATCACATTGCATTGAAACACGAGTTACGGGGAAGCTACACAATTCCCTTTGTCTTGCCAAATATAGTGCTCATGGGGCAACCCCCAAAAAAGAACCCCCCAATAAGACACTAGGGTAAATATCCACACGGTACGCACGACATGTTCACAAGGGATCCACCACACGGGTGTAGAACCTACTTAACAAGGGCGTGCGAGAAGTGGGTGCATCTTGATTTTTTCGCCAAAGTATCGTCAATCCGACGCGAAACGGAATGACGCGGGTCAAACCATTGTAAAGACCAAGTGCCCAAACAGTGCATAATAAGTGTGGTCCTTACAGGACATTCACATGACGGAAACTGGAATACAGTACACTAGGTCGGGCACCACGGAGCTGTCACTGGCATATCACCATCGCGAAGTTGCCAGCCAAGAAGTGTTCGGTTTAGTCATCCCGCGATATTACCGGGTGCCCTCCCAAAGCATATACATGTTACACAAACCGTCCCAGAACTACTACAAAGGAGAATAATCCAAACTACTTGTTTTGGAAAGATTGACCTGGTGAGTGACCAGGTGATCTGTATTTCGATACAATCCCTATATATGCATGCGAGTAACAAATACCGTCCTTCTCATTTGGTATTACCAGAGTGTATTACTTCCGCCTCGAGCCCGAATGCGATCCACCCTGAACGATCCTTTCCTTGCAATATCACACTTCAAATTTTACCATGGTACGAGAGTGTCTCAGGGAATTTACGCAACGTCACTTTCGTTGACAGCGCCAAAACAAGATCTTGCAGGCAGCAGGCGATCTACGACCAGGCTGGCCGTTGGACAAACGAACTCGGCGGCGGCAATTGAGACGACAACTACGATCGGCAAAGGCTGGTTCGAGAAGGTGTTACAATTTTGAAGCGTGACTTAGCGAACAGGATCGTTCAGAGTTGATCGCAGTTTGTGTCGCAGCGGAAACTGTGAACTCAGGTCAGAGTGAATGTAAATGACTGAGATTGATAAACGCATGCTTACACGTGGTTTACATAGCAACACCAAGGGATGCGAAACGACCAAGACTAGCCAGGAACTCTATGGAGTACATTCCATTATTGCATCGGAACACAAACCCCGTTGCGCGGGAACACATGGGGATTTACTCTTCTTCTTTGCACAGTGCGTTAACAACCCATCCAATGGAAAACACTGTCGATATTAGTAGGCAAGTGTGGGTGTAGCCACTTAGGGTACAGGACTTCGGGTTTCAGCTTTGCACTCTAATCGTTGATACTTCAATCATGTCAAGCTACTTCGCAATCCAATTAATCCATGTGGGCCGAGACTGTCTAGTGCCACGTGGCACTCAACCTTTCTTGCCTCTATGATGCCTAGTCCCTCACACCACATTTCATAAAATGCTCGTACGTGCGATATGTACATAAATTGTATCCACCCGTAACGACCAATTATATTACAACACTACTTGGACAACCTAGTACTTTATCCGCCTCGGTCGCCAACACCCTCATTCGCCAACATAAATCGCCACGTTTATCCAACACTTACTCGATCCCGCTAACTCTTCAGGGGAATTAGACTGTCGGGCCATACACAAGTCATGTTTCATTCCATTGCACTATCAGAAATAACATCCTTACCAAGCTTGTGTAGGATTTAGCCTGTTTTACGAGAGCAAACTACAGTCATATGTCGTGACGGACGCCTGCCAAGAATAGCGGCGCGTGCAGTGACGGGAACAGATTCACTGTACCCGTGTTTCAGTTTACCCCTGTTTCCCGCGTGAAATTCATTGTCAATCCCGCGTGAAAGAGATAAAAACTGCACCTCGGTTCACATTGGATATCGGCGTGACCCACCGCTCAATAGTGGACGGTGATAGTCCTTACGCATCACAAACAACAGGTGGACGTCCCGTCATTTGTCACATCACTGGCACAAGGACGCTTGCACCTGTCGCGTCAACACCCCTCCTTGTTAGACTGCAAGGCATAGCGACGAGTACATAACTTCACATTGCCAGGTGACATCGGGTCAAGCTCCCTAGTAGTCCTTAGTATGACGTCGCAGAAAAGCCCGCGGTTGGGTCGGGCGAGAAGTGATGCAGAATCGTCCAAGAAATCGTCATCGCGTGTTATTAAGTTCGAGGTTCCCGTGACGGTTGACGTGGAGGAGAGCCCACCGGAACCCGACGACATAGTGTCCCTTTTCGCGAAATCAGTGCCTGGGCCGTCTGAGGGTGGCGGTCTACTTCCGCCCACATTGACTAGCGAATACTTTCCAACACCGGCGATCACGAATCACCTTGGGCAGAGCGCGAACGTGCAGATGGTTGATGCTCTTGGGATTCGCGACGGGTGTGAGATTCCGGCAACAACGATCGACTTCCACAACGTGTGAGTTATGGGCCAGCTTACAATCGTCGTTAACCATAAACATTCGGTGCTTATGTACATAACATGTTTTGCGCAGCGTTCTGAGTATCTTGCACCCGCAACTACCATCGGGGAGCTCGTGGGTGGCGCTGCCATCCTCTGCGTACCGGGCGGCTGTTAACGAGCATCTTTGCTGCGGCATCAAGAGCGATACGCTGTTCGAGTTCGACTACGTATGCATAGTGGCAGTAACGCAGTAAGTAGGCGTGGTTCAGCGGTGCCGGAACAATACGGTATAAATGTTGGCTCACAATGTTTCAATGGCTTGACCATGTGTCTGAGGAACCCTGGGCCCAAACACGCAAGCCTGATCGTTGTGAAGGATCCGGGGTTGCTGCTGAAGACTGATGAGGAGCTTGAAGTGCTGGGCGCTGAGAGGCCACAGGTTGTGCTCTTCGATTCTACTGGGTATCACGTCGCCGGGTCACACACCGTCTTCCGAACCGTAAACTGGTGAGACCAGATGACCCCGCCATAGCGTGTTTTATGCCATTTGCACACTTGCTGGGACTCCAAAGACCATGTGTCACTGTGTGACATAGCACGTGACTGCAGGCTTTTGGGTGCGGTGCTGACGCAGGCGAGGCCGGGGCTCCCTGCGTCGGATGTGACCAATCGTCTCCGTCGCAGCCGCTGCCGGGCACTGCGTGTAAGTGAACGGCATATTGCATATGTTTATCTATGCGATACTCGATGGATGACTCAGCTTGCCCAACCATCCGTTTATTAACAATCTTATGGTATTGTTAACCTGTTCAGGCCAGCCAAGTACCGCAACAGGACTACAACGTTGACTCTGGCGTACTCGTGTGCGTGTCCGAGCTTGCGGCCCGGTCATTCAGGAACCTTGTGCAGGGCATCCCATCACCCTCGTACCGCATTGTTACCTACCGGCGCGCCATCAGAGCCTTGATGTGTGATGCTGGGGAGCAAACGCTAGCCGCGAAGCTGCACAACAAAACGGTGACACTACCGGCATTTGACCGACCGGCGCCGGGAAATGAGTCGCTCCACACGGTGCAGCCCATCGTGGACAGCATTTCGGCGATGAGGGACCTGGCCTCTGAATTACGGACCCAGGCTAGTCGTCTCGCCGACGTAGAAGGCGGCATGGAAACCATGAAGCAGTGGATCGTGAAGACGCATGACATATGCGACACCATGGCCACAGCCGTGTCAGCGCTTCAGCCGACGAGCGGTACTGAACGCGCGCCTGATACGCCCATGGTCGTGGAAGACCGGCCCGAGGTCATCGGAGGCGGCTCTCCGTCACCGCAGGAGCAGGCGAGGCAGTCTTCGCGAAATAAGGCCAAGGAAATCAAGGGGAGATTCGTGGGTATTACCCTACGGCCCTGGAATGGGCGTTGGGTTGCTAGACTGGTCTGCGAGCGGAAGAAAGACGGGCACACCGTTATTGGCAGCCAGTTCGGAGATGAGGAGGAAGCCACGAGATCACTGGCCGCTGGATCACATGTTCTGTTTGGGCCGCACAGGGGACCTCGTGGGAGAGTGATAGGTCTGTCTGTTGAAAATATGGACAGGTTGAAGGACTGTCCTAAGGACGTATGCCTTGCCCTGATCCGGAACAAGTTCTGGCACCGGTGGGAGAACTGGAGGGAGGCCTGGGCGGAATGCAAGACTTTGATGGAGAAAGGGAGGGCGGTTGATACGGTGTCGGTAGATCCGCAATCCTCGGCTCAGCCGCCGTGTCGTCGCAGCTCCAAGCGAAGGAGACAGACAAAGGTGTAGCCGACGGCCTTTAGACGCGAGGAGCGTTGTCTGGTTTTTGGGCTGTGCTGACTTTACTAGACCGCCGGCCGAACTGCCTTTGCCTTGTGGTGTGTTAGAGCGTGGCATGCCGAGGGATTGCTTGGCTTTCCACATCACACTCATATGTAGCCCCGTTGGTTTTTGCTGGGGTTAGGTTAAAATGATGTGTCATAGCCTGTGTTGGTTACAGGCAGCACGGAACGTAGCACTGT